CCCCAAAACCCCAAAACCCCAAAACCCCAAAACCCCAAAACCCCAAAACCCCAAAACCCCAAGGCGATAATATAATATTGGATAAATATAATTATCGAAAATTCAGAAGGTAATGGCTAGCTTAATACTTATTTTGATTCTTCAAATTACAAGAATCAAGGGGGAATACTCTAAGTAGTTTATTTTAAAGTAAAAGAGCACGTGTCCAGTTCTTGAAATTATTTAAACAAACCTTAATTTTTACTCCTATCATCAGTTTGATTGTTAGTAACATGCACTTCTTCCATTCTGGTGAAGACTTGGCCTCTCTGATATTCTCTCAAGATGAGCTATAAGTAGACTATTTTCTTGCTAGAAAAACCATAAAAATTTAGCCAGTTTTATAGACTAAAATGGGGAATAAATGTTGAGGTAGCGGAGGAAAGAAGAGTTCCAAGGTTGGAAATCGCACTGTTGGCTCAGAAAGAGACCAGTCTCTTATCCACAGTGAGCATGAAGACTCCAATAGAGTAGAAAGAATCAGTAAGCATCCTTCTTAATCTCATTTTTCTGGCTGACAGTTAAGCTCTCTTATCAGAAGTATTTATTTGCTTGATATTTTAAGAATTTTGAAAAATCTTCAAAGCTAAAAAAGATGGTTTGAGACCCCAGTTTTTATTCTTATTGGCATAAAACTTCTACATTTTAGAAGCATCGTAAATGGAGTATTTATTTCAAGCTTCATTTAAGGCAAACTACCTTGATAAATTTTGTATCAAATTGGCTAAAATTTGTACTCTTTAAGAGCTAAAATAAATATAATTTAGATAACAATGAAGATAACCAAGGAAAGTTGCTGATTAGCAAGGGTGATTTCATCAATGAACACAATGTTGACAATATCAGAGAGGATTATCAAATCGGTAAAGTTCTAGGCACTGGAGCCTTTGGAGAGGTCAGAGTTTGCACACACAGAAAATCAGGCATCAAGAGAGCGGTAAAAATCTTGAAAAAGAACTTTCTTAAAGAAGAAGAACAGAAGAAGTTCTTCCATGAAATAGAGATTCTTAAATAAAATGGTATTTTTAGATTATAAGCTCTAGGATCATCCGAATATCGTTAGACTGTATGAAGTGTATCAGGATCACAAGAGATACTTCATCATCACAGAGCTCTGCACTGGGGGAGAACTCTTTGATCAGATCATCAAGAGACCTTACTATAGTGAGAGAGATGCTGCTATAATCATGAAGCAAGTCCTTTCAGCAGTTTCATACTGTCATGCTGAGAATATTGTGCACAGAGATTTGAAACCAGAGAACCTCTTGTTAGACTCAGATGGGTCTGGGGCAATTATTAAGGTGATTGACTTTGGAACATCACAGAAGTATGATCCCGAGAAGAAGATGCACCAGACATATGGAACTCCATATTATATTGCTCCTGAAATTTTAGCAGGAGAATATAATGAAAAATGTGATGTCTGGTCCTGAGGAGTCATCATGTACATCCTTCTATGTGGAAGACCCCCATTCGATGGTCAGACAGATGATGAGATTTTAGAAAATGTCTCTAAAGGAACTTATAAAACTGATTCTGCAGTGTGGAAAAATGTATCCAAGGAGGGACTTGACTTAGTCCAAAAGATGTTGAAATTCGATCCTGAGAAGAGAATTGCATCCAAGGATGCTCTCAGTCATGCCTGGATCAAGAACCTCACAGAAGGAATTAATGTTGACCAAAACTTAGCTTCAGGAGCCTTGAAGAACTTGCAAGAATTTAGAGCCGAAAGGAAACTTCAGCAAGCTGTATGCACATTCATGGTTTCACAAATGGCAACAAAGGAAGAAATGGAGGAACTTCAGAAAGCTTTTTCATCTCTTGACAGTAACGGGGATGGTAAACTTTCAAGAGAGGAGCTCCTTACTGGGTTCACTGAAATTATGGGTGAAGCCACTGCTGAAGCTGAAGTAGAACGTATCATGTCCTTAGTTGACACTGATAAAAATGGATGGATAGATTATTCAGAATTTGTAATGGCTACTCTTAACAAAAAGAACCTTCTCTCTGATGAACGTCTGGAGGCAGCGTTTAAAATATTTGATAAAGACAACAATGGCTTCATTGATGCTTCTGAAATCAGAGCTGTCCTCGGAAAAGGAAAGAACTTGGATGACCAAGTTTGGGAAGAACTTATCCACGAAGTTGACATAAATGGAGACGGTGAAGTCTCATATAAGGAATTCAAGAAAATGATGCAGCAACTCATTGGAGGAAATGATGGAGATTAATTATTATTATTTTGTTTTTCAAGTGTGCTTCCGCCTTCCGGGGTTTTGGGGTTTTGGGGTTTTGGGGTTTTGGGGTTTTGGGGTTTTGGGG